GCCCTGTCAGGCTGGTGAGGTGTGCTGGGTACCTTGTGTGTGCAGAGGACTTGTTAGAGGAAGATTCTCACCTTTCTATCAACATCCTATAGCTTAGGTTGATTTTAGATGTTTTACTATGTTGGGCTATGCTTCTGGGGGTCATCCAATCCAGATTCAGTCATAGAATGCCACAATAGTGGCAAATATTAAACATCAACATTGACTTAGTAAGACTCTATGCAGACCCTCTGTGTGGCCACTTCTACATTCTCTAGATACTATGTCTGAAGGACTGACTTACCATCTTGCTCCATGGTCGCTGGCTTTATCAGAAGCTGGTTTTCAACAGCCCTGTTAAACAAGGACATCTCTGAATCTGTGCTACCTACAATAAAAAGCAAGGAAGTCTATGTACAAGTACCTGAAATAAATAATAAATGTCCCGCAAGGTCTATCATCGGAAATGGAAGGCATAATTCACTTGGTGTGAGTATATGGGCTTCCACTCCAAGAGTTTGGACCAGTGTTTGGCTTTCAGCACTATCAAAGATCAGGTTTTTTATACTTTCTATCTTGTTTCAGAGACAGCTTATACAGGGAATATCCCATGTAGCAACTCCTGTTCATTCCCCTGTGACCCAGTGGGATCTAAATCTAGTTCTATCTGTTCTCCAAAAAAACTGCTGCTTGAACCCATTAGCAACATTCCTTTATCTACTCTCACCCACCAGGTGGTATTCCTGGTGGCTATCACCTCTGAGGTGTGTCTCTGAATTGGCAGCCTTATCCTTCAAGGAACTGTTTCTTGTTTTGCATAGGGCAGTGGTTCTCAACCTGTGGGTCGCGACCCCTTTGTGGGTCGAATGGCCCTTTTACAGGGGTCGCCTTAGACCATCGGAAAACACATATTTCCGATGTGTAAAGATTAGCTACTGTGTTGAAAGCAGCAGTATTGGAGGTAAAACAACACTCATGAATTATAATTACTGAGTAAATAATTTTATGGTTGGGGGTCACCACAACATGAGGAACTGTATTAAAGGGTCGCGGCATTAGGAAGGTTGAGAACCACTGGCATAGGGACAATGTGGTGTTGAGGCCCAGGACTTCCTATTTGCCTAAGGTAATTTCTGCCTTTCTTCTCAAGCAGCCCTTATTTATTTATTATTTCAGGTACTTTTATAGCGCCGTCAATTTACGCAGCACTTTACATATATATTGTACATTCACATCAGTCCCTAACCCTCAGGGGAGTACAATCTAAGGTCCCTAACTCACATTCATACATACACATACTAGGGACAATTTAGGAGCCAATTAACTTACCAGCATGTCTTTGGAGGGTGAGAGGAAACCGGAGTACCCTGAGGAAATCCACGCGGGCACAGGGAGAACATGCAAACTCCAGGCAGGAGGTGCCGTGGCTGGGATTTGAACCAACGACTCTAGTACTGCCAGGCGGAAGCGCTAACCATTTAGCCACTGTGCTGCCCAGCCCTTGTTCTTCTGTCCCTCTTTTCAGCTTCGGTTCAACAAAATGAACTATCCTTTGGTTTTCTGGAATTGGCTCAGACAGGCTCAACAGTAATAATCTCTCACGAGCAGTATATAACTATAAATATCAATACAAGAAGCAACTTGCACTACCACATACTCATAAGATGCGCGTGAACAAACATTCTAAACACGCAGTGCCGCACTTCTAAGCTCACTTATTAATAGAGCCAAACAATAATGTGAACATAAATCAATACAAAATATTGAATAGAAATCAATATAAAATAAGTCTCAAATAGTGATTTCTTCAACTTGAATGTTTCCTATTTCATCTCTTTATGTCCTTTAATCCTCCACCAAAAACAAACACCAGATGTGCTCTCACCTGGAGTTTTTGATCACACATAAAGTTAGGTCAAAAATCGCATGTGTCCCTTGAAGTGGACACACAACAACCAGTGTATCCTGGTAATAGAATCTTCCTCCACAGATCACCACTCTCCTTATTCTGTCCTCCACTCAGCATACGTGGTGAAAAAATCTAAAACACAATAGTGCTTTATCCTTTTTAAAACTCTATTTTATTAAAACATATAAAGTGGCCACTCGCATAATAAAGGTGTTAAATCACATCAGATATATTGCGCATGAATATCCAGCAATGTTCATATACAGGCAATCAAAGATAGGTTCCACTCATCTGAAATGACACTGTGGCTGGATCGATTGCATCGTGATGTCATCAAGCCCCTCCCCATTACATGACATAAAGAGATGAAATATGAAACACATTCAAGTTGAAGAAATCAGTATTTGAGACTTTTGATTTTATGATTTATATTCATTATTTTGTATTGATTTATGTTCACATTATTGTTTGGTTCTATTAATAAGTGAGCTAAGAAGCGTGGCACTGTATGTTTATCAATTTTTGGCTCAGACAGGCTGTCATCCAAACTTACAATTTCAAGGATCGGGTACAATTTTCCTTTCAAGGCACACTCTATTAGATCTGTGGGTATTTCTTCGATTTTTTTTTTTTAACATCAACCTGGGTGCAATCCTGCTACTTGATCTTCTGTTCACACATTCTCTAAGCTCTACAGGATGGATATTGTGACATCACCTGATGCCATATTTAGGAATAAGGTCTTTCAGATGAGTTTTTGTGGTGCAGGCAGACCCTAGTTCTCTGAATTGTTTTGTGCCTGTTTGTGTTGTCCATTCCTCAGTTGAACTGTTTTAGGATGTCTTAAAGACATCTCTGTTTCTCAGTGAACAAGAAAAAAAATAGAATTTTTATACTCACCAAAAAATCCTTTTCCTGAACTCCATTTAAGGACACTGGTCCCACTCCTCTGTATTCATACAGATAATTATGGTCCCAGTATGGCTTTTCTACAAAACAGGCATGCTGCAGTAGGAGGGGTTAGCCTTAGCTGACCTACGTTTTTTTGTTTGCCAGTGTCTGATCCTCCTTTAGGCAGTATTTACCCAAAGATGAAAGATTTCCTGTGTCCCTCAATGGACTTTAAGAAAAGAATGTTACAGTGAGTACAAAAAATTATATTTTTGCATGCAGACACCAGATTTCCCTTTTTATTTACCTAATTTCTTGAAGAGAGAATTGACTGCAAATTTAAACCATAGAAAAAGCACTTAAACCTTCTTAATTGTGTATTTCTGAGCGTCTGATTTTATTTGTTTAACCACTTCAAGTCCAGACACTTTTACCCCCTTCCTGTCCAGGCCAATTTTCAGCTTTCAGTGCTATCACACTTTGAATGACAATTGCGTGGTCATGCAACACTCATATGAATATTAATTTTTTAGCATTTTTTTGACACAGATAAATCTTTATTTTGGCGGTATTTATTCACCACTGGGATTTTTATTTTTTTTGCTATGTAAATGAAATGTCCAAAAAGTTTGAAAAAAAAGTGTTATTCTTATAAAATTTTGCAAATAAATAATATTTCATCATAAATCTTGGCCAACATTTATTCCGTTATCTTTTTAGTAAAAAAAAAAAAACAAATTAGTTTATAACCAAAATTATAATTTTTAAACATTTTGTTTTTACATTTTTATTTTATTTTTTTATATTATTTATGTTTTGTTTTTTGTTTTTTTTTTTTAGTTTTTTACATACTGTCACCCTAGTAGTACAATGTCACCATGGTGACACTGTACTACTTGTGGGGGGGTGATGAAGTTTTTTTTTTTTTTTTTTTTTACACTGATTGCTTTTACACCTATAAAGGCTGTAAAAGCAATCATTTCTCCTTCTCTCTGGCTGCATTTACATACAATGGCCGGACGGGAGGTAGTTAATGAATTGTGACTTAAGTTTAAGATCCTTTACATAAACCTGTACAATTTTAAAGTAACCTTGCATCAAAATGCAAAGAATGCTTATTACCTACTCTCCCACCCTACGCAGCCATTGAGAACTACCGTGTGAGCTGTGATTGGTCACAGCTTGTCACATGGTACAAGGCCGTTGTGATAGCCTTGTACCATGTGACCTCTGTGATCATTCACAGATTTCAAACGTAGTAAGCAATGATGTGAGAAGTGACATCTTGCTTACTACTCTGCATGTGATCACTGATTGGCCAATCAGTGATCACATGATCGGGACCTCGCACAGAGGTCCTGTACGACGATCTGTGGTCCACTGTGTCCGGAGGACACACAGCGGGCACCGGATTGCGGTGCTGTGCACTCCCAGGGAGCGCGCACAAGCAGGGGTGGAGAGGCCATTTTTAAATGGCCACCCTCCCCTGCACTGCCACTGTCCGGCCATTTATATACAATGGCCGGACGGGAGGTGGTTAATGAATTGTGACTTAAATTTAAGATCCTTTACATAAACCTGTACAATTTTAAAGTAACCTTGCATCAAAATGGAAAGAATGCTTTGCATATTTACCCTGTCCAGGTAAATATGATACATGGAAAAAAAAAAAACAAATTAAAAGGTAAAACTTTGAATCAATGCTTTCCTTACCCCCAGCTTCCACCAAAGGCGCCTAGGAGAGGGTAATGCCACAAGCCTTCCAGCAAGATGCTGGTTATTGCTGGCAACCCAAATCTCACAAAAAGTTGCTCTTACACAGTGCTATAATGTCTTCTCATGGGATTTGGGATCCTCTGCTTTCCCAGGATGTTGCTGGAAGGTAACTCATGAAGAGAATAAGTGCACAGAAACAGAGCTGCATCAATAAAAAAAAAAGTTGTCAGAGACAAAAGATGACTTTTTATGTGTAGTAGTCCACTTTAAACCCTATTGTTATTTCCATATGTAGACCTGTAATGTAAAATGTTTACGTATGATTTCTGTTTACAAAAGATAAAGTCAGAGTTCAGTCTGTAATTTTGAGCATTTGTGTACAGCATGAATGGAAGCTTTTTCATTTTATACTTTTGCTTTTTTTTTTTTATTTGCAGTCAACTGTTGATTTATAGAAATTTGAAAGACCTCCTTATGCATTAGTTTATTTTGTGTACTGTTTCAGTTGTATTTTTGAACCAGAGGGCAATGCATGTAGTTTAACAGACAGCACAGCAGAAGAACATGTATTGGCTCTAGTAGAGCATGCAGCAGATGAAGCAAGAGACAAAGTCAACAGATATTTTACCAACTGCAAGGTATATTTTTCCTAATACAAAACATGGCACAGTAGCTGGCAGAGTTTTATATTAGGAATTAATTTAATTCTAAAATGGCAACTTTTTACTTTCAGATTGGTTACCTTAAGAAGATTACAGATGGCACTTTAGTTTATACTGTAGTCAACTCTGATCCAGATGCAGAAGGTAAGTAGTATAAATGTGTTAGACATGTGCCATGTTAAATCAAAAACATAGTATTGCAATAGAAAATAGAGTACGTGTTGAACTAGATTTTTGCAGTAGTGTGGGTTTTAGTGTACTTTTTGTAGAATGTATTTTGCTGGAAACCACAACAAAGATGTAGTAAGCAGGATTTAAAAAAAAAAAAACAGCCCTACTAATACAAATAGGTGTGATTGTATCCTAAATGTGTAAAGTCTGCTTGAGCTTAAACCTAATTCACATTTAATTCTACCACAACCTAACCCAGGGGTGGGCAAACTTTTTGACTTGAGGGCCGCATTGGGTTCATATATTGGACCCGGGGGCCGGACCAAGAGTAGATGAATGATGTGTATGTGTCATCCATAGTAAGTATAGTAATATTCCCCCATAGTAAGCATAGTAATTAATCCCCCATATAGTAATTCATCCCACCATATAGTAATTCATCCCCCCTATAGTAATTCATCCCCCCTATAGTAATTCATCCCCCCATATAGTATTTCATCCCCCCCCTATAGTAATTCATCCCCCATATAGTAATTCATCCCCCATAGTAATTCATCCCCCATATAGTATTTCATCCCCCATAGTATTTCATCCCCCATATAGTAATTCATCCCCCATATAGTATTTCATCCCCCATATAGTAATTCATCCCCCATATAGTAATTCATCCCCCATAGTAATTCATCCCCCATATAGTAATTCATCCCCCATATAGTAATTCATTCCCCATATAGTAATTCATTCCCCATATTAATTCATTCCCCATATTAAGTCCCCTCTGTGTCAATTCACTTACCTTTGCTCCATGCGTTCCTCTCGCCGTGTTCCCGCGACGTTCCGGTCTTCAGGGCGGACTGTGAGAGGAGCCTAGCTCCCCTCCCCTCACGTTCGTCACGCTGCCCCGCCTACACACATCCTGACAGCCACATCCGCGGGCCGGATTAAAAGGTCCGCCGGGCCGTAGTTTGCCCATTGCTGACCTAACCTGTTAGAGGAGATGTCATGGTGGTGAGCAAACAAGACGGGAATTGGGAATTAAAGTAAGCCTATGCATTGACAATGCAGAGCTAAGCATGTGTATCACTCATTTGCAGTCCACCCCAGCTTCTTTTTGCTCCCCCACTGCTGCATTTAGCTGCCAGGAAGGGAGTGAGAGAGCCATTTTAACCTCCCTAAACAGGGCTGTGACTATTCCTGTCACAGGTTAATCACCAATCAAATCCATGCTGTTACGTGGGAGGAAGGGAAGTGAGTCTTGTGGTCCCCATACCTAAAGGTACTAGGTATTCCTTTTCAGTCCTCGTTGCTGATTGGAGATATAAGAGAGCAGAGGGAAGGTGAACAAGTACAGCTAGGTAGGGCAGCGGTTATATAACTCTGTTGCTTGCCCCCCATGTGGACAAAGCACAGCTTCACGTCAAGCACAGAAAATCAACATTTTAAAATACACTAAAACCCTCATAGCTGAAAGCACAATGGAATTCTGTATATCTTTGCTACAATATACCTTGCAGCATATTTGTTTTTTATACATTTTTTCATAACCCTTTTTTGGAATCATAATTTGGTAGCAGGATTTACTGGATCATCAAGCAGATTTAGGCACTGCAGAAATCCCTTTCTACCTTGACACAATTCACAAAGAAAAGTATCCAGTTCTTGTGGTTGCTGTGGTCTTCTTTTTTTTTTTTTCTCAAACACTCACATTTGACACTATGCAGTAAACTAGCAGAAAAACATAAAAATAATAATGTTTATCTAGTAGCAGGGCTTTTTTCCTCAGAAAATAGGTGCAGGAGCTCCCTTGTTCTGAATCATATCTTGTCTCCGCTCCCTACCCACCTCCGAACACAGTCCCTTGGTTCCAACCCACCTCCCAGTACTGTTCCTTATAGAGAATACACCAAGCCAAGTATTTTTTGGTGCCAAGTCATTTGTATTGAATTTGTTAATGATAAAAAAGCAGTACAATAGACCACCTTCCCAGCAACAATAGATTCCTCAGCCAACAATGGACCCCAAAATAAATACCACCCCAGCAACAATAAACCCCCAGCAGCAGCAACAGATCCCCCAGCAGCCAGCATCAAAAGACTCTTCAGCATCCAGCAACAATAGACCCCTGCCCTCAACAGTAGATCCCTTCCAGCAACAATAGATCCCCCTCCAGCAACAACAGACCTCCCCAGCAACAACAGACCACCATGCAAAAATAGATCTTCCAGCACATCCCAGCACCCCTTGCCATTACATACATTAAGTGCTGGAGGATGCCAGAATTACGTTCCCCCACGTTCCTGCTGAAAAAAAAAGCCCTGCCTAGCAGAATATTGTAGATTTTACACAGTATTCAAGTTTGCTAGATTTTTGTTTTTGTTTTTTTGAATTTGTTACGGACAGTTTTCAGTTCCATCTCAACAATTTTAAATTAGACACAAGCAAACATACATACAAACTGCACTTGTATGTGCTAAAAATTTGGGAAATATATATTTTTATTTTTTTAGAGGAAGAAACACACTCGGTGGATTTAAGTTCTCTCTCAAGCAAACTGTTACCGAGCTTTACTTCACTGGGATTTAAAGATGACCGCAGGCATAAAGGTAAGAAAGAATAAATGAATCGAATGTATTCTCCACTGTATGATTTAAAATTGATGTTTACCTACTAGGTCAGGGGTCTGCAACCTTTAAGACATAAAGAGCCACTTGGACCTGTTTCCGAGAGGGAAAAAAAGACTGGGAGCCGCAAAACCATTGCAACATTTAAAACAAATCCGACACTGCATATATTGCAAAAAACGCTCTGGTCATGAAGGGGGTTTAAGGGCCCAGTAAGCAAAGGGTTAATCAGGGCCACAGTGTATCGTCATAATCACAATCATAGCCTTAGGTCAGTGGTGGGCAACCTTTTTTTTTCGACTGAGCCAAATCTCGCCAAAACCACGATTGAAATTTATTTTGAGAGAAACATTTTTAAAACTGAAAATACATCCCCCATATAGTAATTCATCCCCCATAGTAATTCATCCCCCATAGTAATTCATCCCCATATAGTAATTCATCCCCCATATAGTAATTCATCCCTCATATAGTAATTCATCCCCCCTATAGTAATTCATCCCCCATATAGTAATTCATCCCCCCTATAGTAATTCATCCCCCTATAGTAATTCATCCCCCCTATAGTAATTCATCCCCCCTATAGTAATTCATCCCCCGTAGTAATTCATCCCCCCTATAGTAATTCATCCCCCGTAGTAATTCATCCCCCGTAGTAATTCATCCCCCCTATAGTAATTCATCCCCCCTATAGTAATTCATCCCCCATAGTAATTCATTCCCCATATTGTGTGAATTCACTTACCTTTGCTCCGCGCGTTCCTCTCGCTGGGTTCCCGCGCCGTTCTGGTCTTCAGGGCGGACTGTGAGAGGAGAGGAGTTCGTCACGCTGCCCCGCCTACATCCGGGCTGCCCCGCCTACATCCTGACAGCCAATGTTTGCCAGCGGGCGCCCGGCACACAGAAGATCTACATTAAAAGAGCCGCGGCTTGCCGACCCTATTGCCTGTCACCTGGTGGGCAGTGTGCTCCGGAGCCGCAGGAAAGGTGAAAAAGAGCCGCATGCGGCTCCGGAGCCGCGGGTTGCCGACACCCGTACTAGGTGGATTTGTGTTTTGGAGTAAAATGAACCTTTTGTGGTATATTGTATAGTGAGTCTAACAAACAATCCTGAAAGCGGTACTACTTTCAGCTGTTCATCAGAGCAGGTGAAAGTTGCCTGGCAATTTGACAGTTTCACTGACCTCTTACCATTAGCATGAGACAAGAGGTAAGAAAACTAGATATGTGTTTTGCTATTTAACAACTGCAAAAGGAAATAATAATGGATAAAAATACTGAGCATAAAATGTATCATTTGTTCTATGCTTGCTTGAGTACATGATGTTTAGGGTGTTTTTAACCACTTGCCCTCCAGAGGATTTACCCCCCTTCCTGACCAGCCTATTTTTTGCGTTATGGCGCTGCGTTACTTTGACAATTGTGCGGTCATGCAATGCTGCACCCAAATTAAATCTGTCTTTTTTTTTTTTTTCCCCCACAAGTAGAGCTTTTTTTCGATGGTATTTGATCGCCTGTGCAGTTTTTTTTTATTTTTTTGCGCTATAAACAAAAACTGACCTTTTTGAGAAAAAAAAAACAATATTTTTGACTTTTTGCTATTAAACATGTCCAATAAAAAATATTTTCTTTATGTGCATTTTGACTGTGTAATTGTGCGGGTATATAGCCTTTTGGTTGGAGTTCTGCTTTCATACTTGTGTGTGCATACGTTTCTATAACTGCATTAAGAATGTTGGTTTGTAAGCCCTTTTACAGGTAGGGGCTGATGTGAATGTCTGTGAAGGTTATGCTAAAGGCGACTGGTAGTTATCAAAGAGGGTTTGTTCCAGACACTCATCTGAATTGAGTAATTCACGTAGATGAGAGGTGAAATTACTTCAACATTACAAAAAAAAAAGTCCTGTTGAATGTGACTAACTACTACTAGCTATACTGATGTAAATGATACTGTGTAATATATTATTATTATTATTATTATACAGTATTTATAAAGTGCCAATAGTTTGCTCAGCGCTGTACATTACAAAGGGGGACAGAACATGTGACAGAACAATACCAATACAATGCAAAACATGAGGGGATCGAGGGCCCTGCTCTTTCGAGCTTACAATCTGGGAGGCGATATAAGAATGTAAATGACCCCCTCTCCCCATGAGTGACTGGGGGGGGGGGGGGGGGGGGCGCTCCACGCTGCAATTTCTCTTCACTTTTGTCTAATCCAGACTGCCCCTCTCCGTCTCCTACCTTCTTTCTTCTCTGACACTCTGCTTTTGGGCTCAGTCAGAGAGGCCAACAACCCAGAGCATTTAAGGGGCCTCCCCTCACCCTTTTTTTCCTATTCCTATCCTCCCCATTCCCCCCTTCCCTTCCTTTTTGTTTTCTAGTTTTGCTTCTCTCTGCATTTTTTTCAATTAATCTATTTTGATTGAACACACAGTGAAGGCAGCTAGACCTTATGTACTGGTTCTGACCCTATCGAAAGGGCTTTATGCCCCATGGTAGCTGACTCCACTCTCCCAGAAATCATATTTGGCATTTCCATCCTCTTTTCCCTCAATTTTTTTTTTTTTGAAGGAAAAAAAAAAAACATAAATGAGTAAATAAAATAAATCTTCTAGTTGTGTTTGCTAATTTATGGTCATACCTGGATTGCAAATGTGATTTTTAATTTAATTTTAACATAATTGTATACATGTAATAAGATTAATTTCTTTTCCTTCTAGTTACATTTCTCAACAGTACAAGCACAGCTCTTTCATTACAAAACAACACACTTTTCACTGACCTTAAGCCTGATGAAATGGATTTAATGTATGCTGGTTATGGTGATGACACCGGAATTCAGTGTGCGCTAAGGTAATGCCTTTTATTTCTGAATATAAGATGAATTAAAAGTTACATAACAAAGTTAATAGAAAATAACATGGTGATTCAGATTATAGATCACTTTAATTTGGTGATTTCAGGACTATAATGTAGGTGAAAACTACAGTAACCCATAGCATTCAGACTTCAGTTTTACTTTAGTCATAGCAATCAACTACTTGCAGAAACAAAACATTGTTTGATATTGGTTTTGCACAAACCATTTGACCTTTGCAGTATATCCTTGGATCTATGCATCTCTACTTCTCCGATTCATCTTCTAGGGCAGCATAAATGGCACCATACAGACAGACAGGACAAAATATTTTCCCTCTTGAAAAGCAGATGGGACTTTAACAGCTCGAGAGGAGAGCCGGTAATTGGCATTCATTCCTCGGAGGGGACATGTACACTGATCATCAGGGCACTGATGATCAGTGTGCCCTGATGATCAGTGTGGCTCCAGAAGTGCCACCTGTCAGTGTCCATCAGTGCCACCTGCCAGTGCCCATCAGTGCCACATCAATGCCACATATCAGTGCCTACCAGTGCACATCAATGCCACATATCAGTGTCCATCTGAGCTGCCTTTCAGTGTCACACATCAGTGCCAGTCAGTGCCACTTACCAGTGCTGCCAATCAGTGCCAGTCAGTGCCACCTAACAGTGCCAGTCAGTGCCGCCTATCAGTGCCATATATCAGTGTGCAGTGCGCTTTCAGTGCCCATATCAGTGATGCCTGTCAATGCCCATCAGTGCCTGTCAATGCCCATCAGTGCCACCTATCAGTGTCCATCAGTGCATCTTATCAGTGGCCATCACTACAGCCTCATTAGCGCACATCAGCGAAGGAGAAAAATCACTTATCTACAAAATTTTATAACAAAAACTAAGACAAAAAGGTTTTTTTTTTTTTTTCAACATTTTCAGTGGTTTTTGGTTTGTTTAAGAAAAAATAAAGAACCCAGAGGTGATTAAATACCACCAAAATAAAGCTCAATCTGTCACAAAAAAATGATAAAAATTTCATATGGGTACAGTGTTGCATGACCGTGCAATTGTCATTCAAAGTGTGACAGCGCTGAGAGCTGGAAATTGGCCTGGGCAGGAAGGGGGTATAAGTGCCCTGTAGGCAAATGGTTAAAGGCAACTCAACTAATCACTAAAAATACAAAATCATTTTATTACAAATAGCTAAAATTTCCACAACAAGAACACATAATAAAAAAAACTTATAAGATGGCTGAGTATAATATATGAATACAAGCTTGATGTGAATCTGAGTCTTCCTCCAACTGATGGAAATGAGCAAGAGAGACTTCCTCAGTAAAATCCCCAACACGTTTTCATAACATATTTCTTTCATCAGGGGTAGACTGAAGGAAAGGATGGTATAGTAGGACTCCAATATCCAATATTAGTGTTCAAGCGGAGTTCCACTCAAAAGCAGAAGCTCTGCTTATTTGCCCCCCCCCCCCCCACTGTCATATTTGGCACCTTTTGGGGGGAAGGTGGAGCGGATACCTGTTTTTGACGGGTACCCGCTCCCACTACCGGCTCAGTTCGCTATGGCATGTATTGAGCTGGAAGTTCGGCCCCCTCCTCCCTCCTGCAGTCTCCTGGGAACTTTCACAGGTCCCAGAAGACTTCCGGACCAATTAGGGGGCGCAGTGCGACTCACACATGCGCAGTGGGCACCAGGCTGTGAAGCCGCAAGCTGTCACAGCCTGGTGTCCACAGTTGAGGTGCTGGGGAGGGGAGAAGGGGCAGAGCGGGTAAGAAAATCGCTGGACTCTGGGACAGGTAAGTGTGAGTTTTATTAAAAGCCAGCAGCTACAGTTTTTGTAGCTGCTGACTTTTAATAAACACAAAAACGGCTGGAACTCCACTTTAATATTTACAAGCCACCAAATGATATTAAAAAAACTTCTCTTATTCTCCACTGACAACACCAGCTGAAATGCCATGAAAGGTTCCCCATAAAGAGGGCCGCAGAAGTCCCACACTGAGGTCACCCAGCAGCACCCAAGGCCATATTGAAGGCAGGTAGAAAATGGGTCTCAGGATGGTATAATATATAGTCGCTGGTGCTCACAGGAATGGTGTCCTAAGATAATGCGACGTTAATCCATTATTTTATGACACCATTCATGTGAGTACCAGCGGCTAATTTGTACCATCCTGAGACCCATTTTCTACCTGCCTTCAATTTTCATTGCGGTTCAGCTGGTGGTGTCAGTGGACAAAAGAGAAGTTTTTTTAATCATATTGGAAATCTTTGAGCAGATCTCAAACATGCAATGCCGGGAAGACAACCTCTTCTTTGGAAGAGTCCACCAAGAAAAAGTGATACAGAAATATGGTTAGAAAGTATATTAACTAGCCACAAAATGTGTGTAGAAGATGTCATTTCTGTCAATGTGAGCACCTTGCTGTGCCTTATCATTTGCACATACCATATTTTCCTTAATTTCTGCAAATAATATAACTGTGTATTAAAGGTTGTGAACATTTGTGTTCCCTGCATGTGGTAGTGTATTATTATTTTTTTTTTTTTTTTTTTGTTACTGAGAAAATCACTAAAACGTGTACTTTGTTCAGATTGCCCTGAATGTACGTAGTGTTGCAGTCTTTTCTGTGTGTGTATACGCAGTGAACGCTTATAGATATCTGTATTCTTGTGACAGCCTGCAAGAGTTCGTAAAAGACTGTGGGGGATATGCAAAGAAAATCGTTAATGACCTCCTGGACCAGATAACAGAAGGGGACCATTCCAAAATTCTTTATCAGATAAAACAGGTGCACATTTTAGAACATTGTTTAGTGGGTTTTTAATCTTGAAATAATAAAAAAAAATTGAGAGATACTTGTATATACTTGGAGATGGATAGAGAGATGTTTTAGATGTGTACACTATAAATATTATATATATATTGAGTTTGCCTACCCGTTGCAGCTACAACAGCTTCAACTCCTCTAGGAAGGCTGTCCACAAGGTTTAGGAGTGTGTCTATGGGAAGGTTGGACCATTCGTCCAGAAGCACATTTGTGAGGTCAGGCACTGATGTCGGACGAGAAGCCCTGGCTTGCAGTCTCCACTGCGGATTCTGTACAGGCCAGTCAAGTTCCTCCACCACAAAGTCGCTCATCCATGACTTTATGGACCTTGCTTTGTGCACTGGTGCTCAGTCATGTTGGAACCAAAAGGGGCCATCCCCAAACTGTTCATACAAAAATGTACCCCTTTTTAGGCGGGAACATGTTCCCAATGCTGCAGCCACCGCCCCCACGGCCACGTCATTCATTCACAGTGTTCTTTGAATGAATGAACTACAAGTCCCGACAGCCTTAGCAGCTGTCTGCTTGAAGTTCTCAATTAACTACTATGGTGCTGTGGAGCTCCATGGTAGCTAATTGATTATTCCTGTCAATATATCTGCAGGAGACAGATATCTTCTGATCACTGATGCAATGCTTTACAGGCTCCTGCAACCAAAAACAATAAATGCACTAATGTATCCTAATTTTTTTTTTTTTTACCTGCTCAAAAATGTGCATTTATTATTTTTGGTCAGAAAGCGAACTTACCTTTTAACAGTTGATAGAAGTCAATTTGAAATCACATATTCTTCAATCAACCAGGGATGCCCACTAATGTATCCTAATTTGGCTGGTCCCTGTTGAACCTGCCAAATTCATATCTATCTATGGCCAGCTTTAATCCTCACCCGCTCCAGGTCTGTGTACGACTCAAAAGTAATTGTTCTTGCAATAGGGCTCATGTTCTTGAGCAAGTTCACATCAAAACAATGACATTCCCCATAAAAGCTTATTTGAGTTCAAAAGTTGTTTGAAGCAAGTCAAATGTACTTTTTGATTAATTCTGAATATTTTTAGAATCATTTAAAACTGATGTCAAAAGCAGTTCTGCATATGCAGCCAAAGCCAATCAGCACTGGCCCATAAAAAGTTATCAACTTGTCAATCATTGCTCAGGGCAGATAGTCCTCTGTGTGGGCAGAATAATTTGTAGGTATAGTACACTTCTAGTATTTTTCAATTTTAGAGAAGAAATATTCCAGTAAGACCTCCAGATGACCTTAAAGTAAGTGTGTTGACAAAATTCATAAAAGCATAACATATATATATATATATATATATATATATATAACTGTCTAAAGTCATGATAAACAAAAATCCTATCTCATGAAAAATCCCACAACTACAATATTTTTTTTATTAAACTAAACATTTAGTATAAAATAAGTTACTGCTTACCATATTTTTCGCCGTATAAGACGCACTTTTTCTTCCCCAAAACTGGGGGGGAAATGTCAGTGCGTCTTATAGAGCAAATATAGAGCGGCCGGTCCGGTATTTCCACCGCGGCCGTGTCAGAATACCGGGCCGGCCGCTCAGCTCTGCAGCGGGACCTTACCTGTTCCTCTATCCAGCGGCGTGCTGTCTTCCCGGCTTCTGTAGTGTGGGCACTGAGCATGACAGCCGGGTGCCAAGTGCGCATGCGCAAGAAGCGGTGCTTTTTGTGAATGGTAAGGCGGCACCTGGGACACATGACAGATCCCAGAAGCCGCCGGACCAATCACAAAGCGCAAGTGCTTCTCGCTCATGCGCACTGGGCACCCGGCTCTCATGCCGAGCGCCATTACAGAAGCCGTGAAGACAGCGCGCGGCTGGATCGAGGAACAGGTAAGCTCAAACAAAAACTCTGCGGAAGTAAGAGCGGGTACCTGTCAAATTCAGGTACCCGCTCCCCACCTCCCCAAAGGTCAGCAGTCATCTGTACTGTCCGCAGTCTCTGGTCATCCCTGTGCTGTCCGCAGTCTCTGGTCATCCCTGTGCTGTCCGCAGTCTCTGGTCATCCCTGTGCTGTCCGCAGTCTCTGGTCATCTCCTGTACTGTGTCTGCAGTCCATTAGTTCAGAATTTTTTTTCCTGTTTTCTGCCTCTAAAACCTAGGTGCGTCTTATGGTCAGGTGCGTCTTATACGGCGAAAAATACGGTAACTAACACAGGGTTCTTGTCATTATTTATGTCTGTAAATAAGACATTGATTAAAAAAATAATTCTTAGTCGTAAAGTACAGATAACAGGATCTTTAGTTTTTACCATGGGTTATATGCTAATACCATTAGGTGATTGGACACTGGCAACAAACATCTGCTCGGACTTAGCATTGGTTGAGCCAGAGCAGGGAGTCCCCTTCGGGAACCTCCTGGAGGAACACAGAAGGAATCTGATTGCCTGAAAGAGGCATTTGCCAAGAGCTGTACTCTAACAGCACACATCACATCAAGATAGTGGAGAGAAATTTTCTCTTGGATGTCTGGGTGCAGGACATAAGGAAGCATAAACCACCCAGGTGGTGGTGTTTCCAAACCATTTCCTCTATGCATACATGTTTTCAGAAGAATGGTAATAACTGAGTTTTAGGTTCACTGTGGGTTTTTTTTTTTCTTTCAGATTGGAGACTCTGATGGCAGCAATTCTGTTCTTGATTTTATGTCCATGAAATCATATTCTGATGTATCTCTTGAAATGTCAATGCTTAATTCTTTAGGTAAGTTTACATTTCTCATAGGTCTTGAGTGTGTGTGAGTGTGTGTTTTTTTTAACCAGAGTTACTTTAAATATTAAAGAAACCATTTATGAGAGCAATAACACAAAACAAATTATGAAGGTGCTGGTGCCTGGCTGTCTCTGGCCTCAATCCTTTATTGATCTGGAAGTAAAGTCAAAGAAAATTCCTAACATCTGATTTACTAACTTATTTTGGATCCGTGACTCAAAGTATTGACTCCTTTACATCAACATTCCTTTAACAACCTTCTTCATACTGTTTTTTAACTCTGGATTAAAAGCAAGGATTCCTGGTTGACACTTTTATTGCAGTACATGGTCACCATTTTGTAAATGTGGGATACTTTAAATAAATATGTAATGGCAGGGAGCAAGACATTTGGTGAACCTGTCCCATTTGTGTTACTTGTCCATTTAAAAGTGTAGCTGACATTTATGTATTTTACGCTTGCCAGTAGAAGAGAGACAATCCAGAAAAAGATTCCTTTTGATACAGTTGACCAGTTTAAGCATTATGTGTGAAATAAAATCTGCATTGAATGCAGGGTGTCTGTCTTTGCATTGAAGGTGAAAGCTGAATTCTAGGTAGATATAAAAGACATAAATGAATGCAGATCTGTATTCATTAATACATATGTTTAATAACACATTTAATGTAAGTAAGGCTGTATAGTATGCAGCATAAGGTGAATGCTCTTATATGCAGCAATTTTATTCATTTCCTAAGCACTGCAGGATTTCTAAACTGACATTGACAAAGGAGAGAAAAGGCAAACCTTCTCACCAGTTTCACAGTGCAGCTTGCTATGTCTAAGCAGTTTCATGCCATTCCCTTGACCGACCTCCTCCACCCTTCCTACCACTCCATCCCCCACAGCTATCTCCTCCTGTACCACTATCCCCTCCCTCCTAGATTGTAAGCTCCAAAGAGCAGGGCCCTCAATCCCCTCATGTTTTGCATTGTATTGTTATTGTTCTGTCACATGTTCTGTCCCCCTTTGTAATGTACAGCGCTGAGCGAACTATTGGCGCTTTATATAAATACTGTATAATAATAATAATAATAACAATTCCCTAGTGCTTTCTCTATGGGTAAAAATAATTTTAGAAAATTAGTGTTTTCTTTGAATTTTCTCAGGGCTGCAATGGCACAGGAGTTTACAGAATTCTGTTGGTAAGAGTATACACCTTTGCTGCTTATTATGCACTTTACTTTTGCTGTATATCTGTAAGTTCTCCAGCAGTGTCTTTGCAGGAAAATGCAGCCTCTTCTGTTGACCATGGTGACCATCGACCAAAGTGAGCTTAAATCCAAAATTTGACAGTTGTCACCTGAAAAAAGAAGTGGATATAAATCTTCCAATAAGAATTTCTGATTGAGTGACAGCTGGGTATAAGGGAATTTCTCTTCACTTTCGTTTTTCTATTTCTGTGTTAGGAGTGTAGGGATAATGCCCCAGTGGGACACAGATAGCAAACAAAAAAAAATTGAGCTTTTTATCTGCTTCCTACTCAATTAATACATGGCTTTAAATACAGTTTAAAATATTCTATTTATTTATTCTAATTTTTTTTAACTACTAGGAAAAGTGAAGAAAGAGCTAGACCACGAGGATGGACATCTTAACTTGGATGATGCAGCTAAGCTTTTGCATGACTTCCATGATGTACACAATGACAGAGTTGGATCTCGTCCATCTTCAAACATAAGTTCTTTATCTAACAACTCAGAAAGAGATCACCATCATCTTGGTGAGTCATGTTTTAATAAGGGTGAACAGTGAAGTGTGTGTTATATCTTGAGATGTAAAAATACATGAGAAGGGTTCAAAAGCAACTTCAGGTTACAGTTCGTGTCCACCCAAATGCATCAACTTCCATTTAAAATGTCTAAATTCTAAATCGGCTATCTTAATTCTAAAGTACAGGACACAGGAATTGATTTTTAGACCATGGGTTGTATGCTACTAGCTTGACATGATTAGACACTGGCAAAACTTTGTTGGGACTGCCCACCAAATGTATCCCTATAACTGCATCCACTCCATGAGGCTACATTTTTTTTGTTGGTGTTCTCAAGTGATGGACCCTTTCTTCCGTTAGAAAAACAATTCTTTTTCCCCAGATTGCCTTTCCTCCTTTTGACTTCTATCAACATCAGAAAATTCTTATTGCCTAACAGCAATTAGCAGTTTCTGAATTGTGTACGTGTAGCTGTACCTGGACCCCCGCAGCAAC